CAGGTGAAAATGCCCAGGCCGCACGGTTGCTGTTGGCCGTAACGTGGCATGCACGGTGGTTGCATTCGAAACTCACAGGGCCGCAAGTGCCTGGGTTTCCCCTCTTGGGGCAGGGTCAGGTGCACTCGGTAACGGCTGCACAGTTGCCTACCAGGACAACGAAGAGTTCGGGACCAGATTGGAAACAAGTCACTAAGCAAGTGGAGGCCCAGATACAAATTCTAAAGGATTTCTATAGGTTGACAAAAGGGTTGAGTAAGATGATGTCTGTATTAAACCTCAGGGCAGTATTTTATTCTACGGTGCTGCAGAACACATACATTCACATTTGTGGTGGTATTTCTTTCGTGGGATGGTGAGCAGGGTAGGCGTGTACGTGTTCTGGGCACTCAACCAAGAAAGCCTGCAGTTCAGTCTTTTGCAGCTATCTCGTCTACACATTTCAAAATAAAAACCGATTTTAATGCTGTGCTAGCACTCTGTAAATGTTCCAGTTTCATTCAGAAGCAAGTGAGCTAAATTATGCATACCTCCTTCTGTACCAGCAATAAATAGTGTTCTTTTAAGATGGGAAAGCATAATACAGACATTGAGCAATGTTTTCTAAAGCAAAAATAAAAGAGGATGTAACAAATGCCACAGCGGCAGGTTGCAAAGTACAGCTGGGCTGCCCACGCAGTTCAAGTCGGGTAGAAAAAGACCTGCAGGTGACTGGCTCCTGATTTCTGTCCAGGTAGAACAACACCTACATGAGGTATCACTTTATCTGCGAATTTCCAGAGCTTCCAAATGATTGCACTGTGTCAATGTTTACGTAGCCTGGCCTTTAGAATCCCCCAAGTCACTGTGAATTCTTCTGCAGATTGAGAGAAAGTGTTATTCTAATTTAAATAAAATCCTCCCTCAAACTTGAGTTAAAAAAGGGCCAGATTTGTTAAGTTACAACTCTACATCCCAGCTCGTATCCCGTGAATGCTCAAGGCAGAACAGCAATGTTACACATCAATGTGCTTTTTTAAATAATGGTTCAGTGACGGTGGATGACTTCATGTCCTAGTCCCACCAGTGACGACTTCTGGTAGCCAGGTCTTCAGCCCATGCAGGCTGCAGGTCCCCCTCGATTTTACCGTGCGCTCGCCTCTTGCTAAGCTGGAGACCCACCGCCCTCTTCATGACCCTTGGGCTTCTGTGGACTGGGCTCTACCCTCTCCGATGGCCTCCTGTGATGAAGGGACTGCAATATATTTTGATTTTCATGAAGTCCTGGACACCTGCAGCTCCTGTCTGCTTTGGCCACCTTGGCTGTTCCTTATCACACAGAATCCCAGACCGTTAGGGATTGGAAGGGACCTCCAAAGCTCATCCAGTCCAATCCCCCTGCCGGAGCAGGAACACCCAGATGAGGTTACACAGGAAGGCGTCCAGGCGGGTTTTGAATGTCTGCAGAGAAGGAGACTCCACAACCTCTCTGGGCAGCCTGGGCCAGTGCTCTGTCACCCTCACTGAGAAGAAGTTTCTTCTCCAATTGAAGTGGAACCTCCTGTGTTCCAGTTTGTGTCTGTTACCCCTTGTCTTATCATTGTTTGTCACCGAGAAGAGCTTATCCATGGCTGGAAGCGCAGATCAAGTCAAAGGTGCCTTTGGCTGGGATGTGAGATGGACAGCCACCAAGAGCAGGGCCCTCAGGGAGACCTTGGCGTCTGCAGATCAGCCACTCAGACTTTTTGCTTCCTCCTGGGTTTTACAGCCTCTACTGCACCCAGCGAGAGGCAGCCACAACAAAGGAATGTGCTGAATCTGCCAGGGAGGGAGGTGGACTCTGTCCCCTCCCAGCCGCCACCACCAGGGTGGCTCTGCAGGCCACAGAGGAAGCCAGTGCCTTTCTGCGCTGCTGGAGAGGAGGTGCGATCCCATTGAGGGATTTGGTGAACAACAGCTCCACATCAGTCAGATCCCCCTTTCAGCATTCTGGTCTCCAGATTGAGAAGTCCAAGCCATTTAGTCTCTATTCCATACAAGCTCCATTTCAGTTGCCTTTCCCCCTGCTTCCTCTCAGCCGTTCACCACTGGGCTCCTCTGGGGATGTGCGTGAAACGGCTGCAAGCTGACTTGGAGAGCGCAGCCTCTGAGCTGCTGCTCCTTGCGCTGATGCCTTTCCCTGGCACATGTGTCCTTTGCAGGGGGGAAATAGCGAAGTGCTTGGACTACACCTGCTGTTTGTGTGGGCACAGCAAGGCATAGCATAATTTTTAATTTTTTTTTAAAACATTGCCTATATGAGTCCAGGAGCAACTACATGCTCCCTCTGACCTTCCACCTGCTGCAGCCTCTGGACCACATTGGAAGGGGAGCACTGGGGGTGCTCTCCATCCCTTTGCCCTCCAGGCTGATGCTAAACACACCTCATTTCACAGCACACAGCTCCCAGAACTGGCCCAGTGTGACATTCCCAGAGTCTGGCATTTGCTGGCCACATGTTTGGGTTGCTTTTCTTCTGGTACATTTCACATTCATAAATCGGCTCTCAAAACAGTTCCCTCCTCACTGTCATTTAGTTGTTTAAATCTGCAACACTGTTACTTCACGCAGGAAGAAGCCACTCATCTGGTCTG